AGTCTATAGTCTAGTCTATAGTCTAGTCTATAGTCTAGTCTATAGTCTAGTCTATAGTCTAGTCTATAGTCTAGTCTATAGTCTAGTCTATAGTCTAGTCATAGTCTAGTCTATAGTCTAGTCTATAGTCTAGTCTATAGTCTAGTCTATAGTCTAGTCATAGTCTAGCCTATAGTCTAGTCTATAGTCTAGTCTATAGTCTAGTCTATAGTCTAGTCTTATAGTCTAGTCTATAGTCTAGTCTATAGTCTAGTCTATAGTCTAGTCTATAGTCTAGTCTATAGTCTAGTCTATAGTCTAGTCTATAGTCTAGTCATAGTCTAGCCTATAGTCTAGTCTATAGTCTAGTCTATAGTCTAGTCTATAGTCTAGTCCATAGTCAATTCATTCAAATCTAGCCTATACTCTAGTATATAAAGTCATTTGATCAAGAGTTTCATTTCTTCCGCTCGCAACTGTAAAATTAATTAGAACTAAACCGTTAATGACTGCTTAAACCAAGGTAGTTTTCAAATACTTAATAAATATTTATAAAATTCAAGAAATTAACCGAAATGTCTAGCGAAAAGCATTTAAAACAATATATCAAAATTAATTTTTTTATTGGCCCTCTGTCAAATATTATATAAATAATGCAGCAAGTCCCCAAAGAAAAAAAAACCCACAGAAATGGGCAAAACAAATCTATTAACTAAAAATTCAAGTTCAGTTTTATAAAATAAATTTACATTAATTAATAATAATAAACCATATAAAACGCAATATAAAAAGACCTATATAAAAAAAAATATAGAGAGAAACGTTATGATGAACTTTGACAAACATCATCAATGTCAATGTAAACATAAGCAGCTATAATATTAATAAATTTTTTTTAATTATATAATTTTAATAACATATATATTTTTTGTTATCTTTTTAGCCCTCTTCACGTCCCGAATCCGATTTTACCTTAGATCTGCCCCGTGCCGAACAATTGCGCATAAAAATGGAAAAAGAAAAGAAATTCCGCCAAAGATGTCGTGTTATAACAACATTTTTAAGTTTAGTCTTCTTTCTATTGACCGTTATGGTCGTTAGTCTGGTCCTAACACGTGGTAAACGTATGTTTGGTAGTATGATTTAAGATGAAACCCTGCCTATATAAAAGGGGCGGGCCTCACAATTCTTTTTTTTTACTAAAATATTTTAATATTTCTTTTATAAATTAGTGTAATTTTTGATTTCTTTTAAGAATTTTTCTTTTTTTTTAATTAGAACAAGTGCCGTAATTAATTGTTATTTTTTTCAAATTTAAAATAACAATAATATTTAATAATATTGTATGTTTGTAAAAACATGCAAAATAAATATATTTAATTGTAAAAAAAAAACGAAAATAATTGCTTATAAACTTTTAGTAAAATGTTTATAATGGCAGCAGTATTGTTAATAAATTATTTTGTGATCTTAGTTTTTAAGTCTAAATAAAATTAATTAAACATTTTATAAAATAATTTAAAGAAAAAAATAGGCATGTTTTGTAATTGTTTAATGAAAATATGTTTAAAAAAATATTCTTCTGTAAATATTACTCCTGTGAGAATATAAATGTGTTTGTATGTAACAAATTATGTCTGTATGTTTGTATAAATATTAATTATATTTCTTTAGTGTTTATTATAATCATTAATACCAGTAAATTTAACTAAAAAAATTATATAGTCTTTATACAAAATAAATAAAAAAATAATATTTTAGAAAACAAAAACAACAGAGTTTTATTAACAACAAAAGAACTTATAAATATGTTATGAATAGCAATGAAAAGTCTAATGTATATAGTCTAGTCTATAGTCTAGTCTATAGTCTAGTCTATAGTCTAGTCTATAGTCTAGTCTATAGTCTAGTCTATAGTCTAGTCTATAGTCTAGTCTATAGTCTAGTCTATAGTCTAGTCTATAGTCTAGTCTATAGTCTAGTCTATAGTCTAGTCTATAGTCTAGTCTATAGTCTAGTCTATAGTCTAGTCTATAGTCTAGTCTATAGTCTAGTCTATAGTCTAGTCTATAGTCTAGTCTATAGTCTAGTCTATAGTCTAGTCTATAGTCTAGTCTATAGTCTAGTCTATAGTCTAGTCTATAGTCTAGTCTATAGTCTAGTCTATAGTCTAGTCTATAGTCTAGTCTATAGTCTAGTCTATAGTCTAGTCTATAGTCTAGTCTATAGTATAGTCTATAGTCTAGTCTATAGTCTAGTCTATAGTCTAGTCTATAGTCTAGTCTATAGTCTAGTCCATAGTCTAGTCAATAGTTTAGTGAATAATCTAGTAAATAGACATGTCCATAATCTAGTAAATAGTCAAGTCCATAGTCTAGTCTATAGTCAAGTCTATAGTATAGTCTATAGTCTAGTCTATAGTCAAGTCCATAGTATAGTCTATAGTCTAGTCTAGTCTATAGTCTAGTCTATAGTCTAGTCTATAGTCTAGTCTATATAGTCTATAGTCTAGTCTATAGTCTAGTCTATAGGCTAGTCTATAGTCTAGTCTATAGTCTAGTCTATAGTCTAGTCTATAGTCTAGTCTATAGTCTAGTCTATAGTCTAGTCTATAGTCTAGTCTATAGTCTAGTCTATAGTCTAGTCTATAGTCTAGTCTATAGTCTAGTCTATAGTCTAGTCTATAGTCTAGTCTATAGTCTAGTCTATAGTCTAGTCTATAGTCTAGTCTATAGTCTAGTCTATAGTCTAGTCTATAGTCTAGTCTATAGTCTAGTTATGTCTAGTCTATAGTCTAGTCTATAGTCTAGTCTATAGTCTAGTCTATAGTCTAGTCTATAGTCTAGTCTATAGTCTAGTCTATAATCTAGTCTATAGTCAAGTCCATAGTCTAGTCTATAGTCTAGTCCAGTCTATAGTTAGTCTATAGTCTAGTCTATAATCTAGTCTATAGTCTAATCTATAGTCTAGTATATTATTCTAGCTAGTCTATAGTATATATTCTAGTCTATAGTCTAGTCATTATGTCTAGTCTATAGTCTAGTCATAGTCTAGTCTATAGTCTAGTCTATAGTCTAGTATATAGTCTAGTCTATAGTCTAGTCTATAGTCTAGTCTATAGTCTATCTAGCTAGTCTATAGTCTAGTCTATAGTCTAGTCTATAGTCTAGTCTATAGTCTAGTCTATAGTCTAGTCTATAGTCTAGTCTATAGTCTAGTCTATAGTCTAGTCTATAGTCTAGTCTATAGTCTAGTCTATAGTCTAGTCTATAGTCTAGTCTATAGTCTAGTCTATAGTCTAGTCTATAGTCTATAGTCTAGTCTATAGTCTAGTCTATAGTCTAGTCTATAGTCTAGTATATAGTCTAGTCTATAGTCTAGTCTATAGTCTAGTCTATAGTCTATAGTCTAGTCTATAGTCTAGTCTATAGTCTAGTCTATAGTCTAGTCTATAGTCTAGTCTATAGTCTAGTCTATAGTCTAGTCTATAGTCTAGTCTATAGTCTAGTCTATAGTCTAGTCTATAGTCTAGTCTATAGTCTAGTCTATAGTCTAGTCTATAGTCTAGTCTATAGTCTAGTATATAGTCTAGTCTATAGTCTAGTCTATAGTCTAGTCTATAGTCTAGTCTATAGTCTAGTCTATAGTCTAGTCTATAGTCTAGTCTATAGTCTAGTCTATAGTCTAGTCTATAGTCTAGTCTATAGTCTAGTCTATAGTCTAGTCTATAGTCTAGTCTATAGTCTAGTCTATAGTCTAGTCTATAGTCTAGTCTATAGTCTAGTCTATAGTCTAGTCTATAGTCTAGTCTATAGTCTAGTCTATAGTCTAGTCTATAGTCTAGTCTATAGTCTAGTCTAGTCTATAGTCTAGTCTAGTCTAGTCTAGTCTATAGTCTAGTCTATAGTCTAGTCTAGTCTAGTCTATAGTCTAGTCTATAGTCTAGTCTATAGTCTAGTCTATAGTCTAGTCTATAGTCTAGTCTATAGTCTAGTCTATAGTCTAGTCTATAGTCTAGTCTATAGTCTAGTCTATAGTCTAGTCTATAGTCTAGTCTATAGTCTAGTCTATAGTCTAGTCTATAGTCTAGTCTATAGTCTAGTCTATAGTCTAGTCTATAGTCTAGTCTATAGTCTAGTCTATAGTCTAGTCTATAGTCTAGTCTATAGTCTAGTCTATAGTCTAGTCTATAGTCTAGTCTATAGTCTAGTCTATAGTCTAGTCTATTGTCTAGTCTATAGTCTAGTCTATAGTCTAGTCTATAGTCTAGTCTATAGTCTAGTCTCTGCTTACAATTTATGTTTTTGACAATATTATGTTATATGGCGCCATCTATGTTTCATTAACTAATTAAACGTACACTTATCAAAGACACTTTTTATTGGTTTAATTTTACTCATAGTAGTGAGATGACGCAGTTTGTGAGACATGTCTCAATTTAAAAATGGGAATTTGTTTCAATTTAAAAATGGGAATTTTTTGAGGACTTCCAGCCTAAGATCAGGGACATGAGTCAAAATTTTTCTAACAACAATGTATAGACCAATCTATAGTCGAGTATACATTTAGTGTCGTCCACTTTATAGTCCCTGATGTTATAAATATATTATTGTTCTAAAAACAAAACTCTTACTTTTTAATGGTTAACGTCTTTGCTACACTCAAGCATAGACATAAACCAATATATTGCGTAAATACGTCAAATGTTTACAGCAATTGACAACTGCTATTCACAGGGAATTAATATCTTTATTTAGTACAATTTGACATTTTAACTCAACATGTTTGTTTACAAAACATCATTTTCATACAAGAAAAAAAAACTAATCTGAAATTTAATATAATTGGTCAGGCTGGGTAGTGTAACACCCTATAACATTACAAAGTAATTTTCGGAAGAAATAAGATTAGGAACTAATTATTAACAAGAGTTTGTTATATAAGGTTTTTACATGCGAAAGTCTTATGATCTTTGTATAGACATTTATTTCTGAATAGTTTGGTACATTTTAAGGTGGATGTTTCTATACTTCACAAGCATTTGTATGAACTCAATATACCTTCCCCACTATAGTAGAGAAGTTTATGAAAAAAACAAACAGATGACGAATGTGAATTTGCATTAAAACAAAAATATTAAAAAAGAAATTATAAATTAACAACAAAGCGAAAACGAAAAACCAAAAAAACTAGAAAAAAATTTTATAATTCTTACAAAACTACATAATTAAATGCTAAAAGTTATAAATCCAAAGCCGAAAGTTAAAAAATGCTGTTATTCTCCTTATCCCAAACACACAAATTAAACTACGTGCTACTGGTTCTAGCAATTACGTTTCTGGGAAACGTAAAAACAGAAACCAGCGAAACACCAAAGAATCTGACGGTTGTTAATAAAACACCGGCTAGCACAGTAGCCGAACAAAAAACTGTTAAAAAAGAGCTCAAAATTAATATAACAGACGCGGCCATTGAACAGATAACAACGCCCCAGGAACCAGATGATCATACCGAAAAACTGGTCATTATAGATGAGAAATCGGTTATAGAAACCTCTGGTAAAGCATTCGAACAACAGCCGCCGCAACATCCAGTGGATGAAGAATTTACGTTAAATGATCCCGATGATATTTCAGATTCATTGAAAACTGGTTTCTATTTCTTTTTAATCCTAAGCTCGGGAGCTATTGTATTTATAGTATTTAAAATTTACAGGTATGTTTAGTAAAAAAAAAAACCTTACAAATTCTTTTTATTTATGATTACTTTCAAATTACCTTTTACCAGACTGCGTTTATCACGAGCTGAACGTAAATATGGTGTTCAGGGAGACCGTTCCACCCAGGAGCTAACACCACTACCCATTTCCATTGAAGATGGTCATAGTGATGATGAAGATCAAACACTTTTTGAGGTGCAACGTCAAAATATTAGAATATTATGAGCTTTTTAAGGCTGTTTATTGTAAAAAACTTTTCTAACGAAATTTTTATAAATTCCTACTAAAACAAAAGAAAATATTCAATATTTTTGTAAATGTTGCCTTAAAAAATTAACATGCGGTCTCTCTATATATAGATTGGCACATGAGGAAACGATTATGTTTAAATGTGCGTTTATTGTATAATATTTATATTTTTTTCTTGTTAAGTTATAAGTTATGCAAATTTTCCTATAAACATTTTTCTGTTTTGTTTACATTGTAACAATTATATAGAAGAAAAGTAATAATTTTTTTTCGTTTTTTTTTATAATTTTATGCTTGCCAAATATAAAACCCAAGAATTCTTGTTATTAATCTAAACTAAATAAATGTTTGTGATACTAATAAAATTGTGTGTAGTTTAAATGTTAAAATGTGTGTTAGACTAGACTAATAGCAGATAGCCTAGATACTAAACTAGACAAAAGACCGGATTATAGACTGAACTATAAGCAAGACTGTAACCTATATGCCACAAACTAAACTACATAAACCATTCCCATGACAATTGTATTTTCGCTCCGAAACGACCCGAGTCGCTGAACATAAATATGGTGTTCCGGGAGACCGTTTCACCCAGGAACTAACACCACTATCCATTTCCATTGAAGATGGTCATAGTGATGATGACGATCAAACACTTTTTGAGGTGCAACTTCAGCGACAGCTGTATCAACCGAAAGTTTTTTTCTCAAGGAAGAACTATCGGCCACAGTCGAACTGTTACAACAACAACAAGTAGACTATAGACTACACTGTAGATTGGACAATATAAACCGACTTTGCACCAATCTAAGACAAGACTATAGACTACAGACTGTACTGGACTAGACTACGGAATAGGCTATAACACTATAGACTAGACTACATCCTAATCTAACACTTAAGGCACTGCAGATTAGACAAATTATATTACATGATAAAATTGTTATTTTAACATTGAAAACTTAAGAAAATCTCACTTACCTTTTTTCCTAATGAAAATTGCTTAAAATTTATAAAGGAATTTATTTTATTAAACTTTTTTTTCTTAATTTTTTTTCACTTTTTTCCAAGCCTTCAAAAACTCGAGCTTTTTTGACTTTATTTTTTAAAAACTAAACTTTTTTCTCTTTTATATCACTTATTGCACTTTTAAGCACTATTTTGAAAAACATTTAACATTATTTTTTTAATTTTAAAACTATTTTTTTAACAATTAAAAAATTTTCTCCAATTAGAACGCGATACGCGGGAAATAAACTAAATGCAAGCGAATTCTTCTTCTTACTTTTGACAGAATGTCAAAGAAATTGTGAACACTACACACAGGGTGTAAGGAAGGGAAATAATATTTTGCAAGCGGAAATGAAAAAAAAATTTGCAATAACAGGGTGTAAGTTTTAAATTTGTATATTAACGGCAATGGTGAAATTTAAAATTAAATAACAAATTGCTACTCCATAGGGTTCTATAAATTGAATTTTGAACTCTTTGTCGTAAAGTCGAAGTCAACTGTTTTGTCCTAGCAAAGATGAAGAAAAGTCGACTGTATAAATAAAAAATCGAAAAAAGTCGAATTAAATCGGAAAAGTCGAAAAAAGTCAAACTATCGAAAACTCAAAAAAATAGCAAAAAATCGATATAAAAAAAACTCGAATAATCGATTTTTCGTAAATTGAATCAAAATATCGATCCATAGAATTTTTATCGGAAAAAGTCGAAGTCGATTATGTTGTCCCAACAAAGTAGGGTTCTATAAATCGACTTTCGAATAATCGAACAATCGACTTTTTGTCGAAAAAAGTCGAAGTCGACTATTTTGTTCCAAAAAAGTCGATAACTCGACTATCGTCTGTGAAAAAAGTCGAAAAGTCGACTTTGTGAATAAAAGTCGAAAAAAGTCGAAAAGTCGAAAAGTCTGAAAGTCGAAAAAAGTCGATAAGTCGAAAAAAGTCGAATAAAGTCGAAAAAAGTCGAAGAAAGTCGAAAAGTCGTAAAAAGTCGAAAAGTCGGAAAAAGTCGAAAAAAGTCGGAAAAAGTCGAAAAGTCGGAAAAAGTCGTAAATTGTAGAAACAAGTCAAAAATAGTCAAAAATTTTAAAAAAGTGGAAAAAAAGCCAAAAACTCTAAAATAGTCGGAAAAACTTGAAAAAAGTCAAAAAATAGTTGGAAAAAAGTAGAAGGAAGTCGAAAATAGTCAAAAAGTCGAAAAAGTCGAAAAAAGCCGGAAAAAGTCGAAAAGTCGAAAAAGTCGAAAAGTCGAAAAAAGTCGAAAAGTCGAAAAAAGTCGGAAAAAGTCGAAAAGTCGACTATTTATAAAATACTTATAGTCGAAAAGTCTAAAAGTCGACTTTTATTTAAATGAAAAAAGTCAAAAAGTCGAAAAATCGACTTTTCATAAAATGCAAAAAGTCGAAAAGTCGACTTTTAACTAAATGAAAAAAGTCGAAAAGTCGACTTTTCGTTTCAACTATAGAACCCTACAACAAAGCTGATAAATTGACTATCTTATAAGAAAATAGTGAGATACGTGATTTTGGAAAGAAAAGTTTAAAAAAGAAATTCACAATCGAACGATTGACTTTTTGTGCAAATATCGACTATATTCTAGGATAAAGTCAACTTTGTAAGTAAAAGTAGAAAAAGTCGAAAAAGTAATAAAAGTCAAAATCTCGAAATAAAGACAAAAAATTGATTTTAAGAATAAATTTGAAACCTACATTTGTTTGGTAGGGAAAAATAACGTTATTAGAACAAATGTACGGAATAACAAAATTAATTCAAAATATATGACTTAAAATATTAATTCAAAAATAAATGAAATAAAGCAAATAATTGGATAAAGTCGACAGTTCATATTATGTCCCATAAATCCTTTTTTAAATTTCTTCTCTTTTATTTAAACTGCTTTTTAATGTATATATATATAATTTAAATGCCCGTCTCTGTTTTGGAATTGCTTTTTGCATTGACAGCTGTCACATTGATTACAAAAAATCTGGTAGTTTATCAGTGAAAAAATAACTCTACCACTTGAAGAAGATTTTATTGCGATTTTATAATTAAAATAACTAAAATAAACGGCTTAAAATAACAACAAATATAATAAAAACAAAATTTTTAGTTTATTAGTTAAACAATATATTGAAAAAGGTAAAAATGTACGCAAATTTAAAGCATAAAAAAAACAAATGAAAAAAATTTGTCAATACACCTAAAAATTTCCTGCTAGTTTGTGGTTATGTGTCAATGTATATTTTTTTTCTTTAACACAAAGTGTTTAAAAGGACAAAGAAAACTAGATAAAATTTAAATTTACATCAGAATAAGTTAAAATTAAAAAAGTAAACTAAACATAAATAAAATATATAAAATAAAGGAAATTGTTAAACTATAAAAAATATGATTGTGCAAAAAGAAAAATAAATGAAAATATATATTGAGAAATCAGAGACAATTTAATTTTCTTTAGCTTTGATGCTGCAAGAGTAAAAGAGCAGCACACTGTATTTTTAAATTGTACCGTATGTATTACCCTATGCTAGACAAGGCAAACTATAGGATAAAACAAGGTTAAATACAAATGTCAGTAAAATTAAAACAAAAAAAAAACGAAAAGACAAACTTTAATTTGTTGAGGTTTAATTTTGTTAAATTTTTCTTTATATTTAAAATAAAACTTAATGAAATTTATTTCTAGAAAATTTTTAAAATTTAATAGTGTAATATTAACGAAATTTGTTTATAGATAAACTTGTATTTAGAGGGTATGTAAATATTTCTGGTACATTATTTATAATTTTTTTTATTAACTTCCTGCTTCTTATTTTGCGTGTGTATTTTAAATGCTGCTGTTTTTTTTTTTTAATGTTTGTTGTGAAATATATATTGAGGAAAACACAAAAAAAACTTTCTCAAATTTCTTTTGCAAATTAAGTTTTTTGTCTTAATTTTCAACTTTGTTGTAGATTTTTTATTAAAACAACATATGTTTTAATTTACATACAAATGTATGCAAGATGTATAACTGTAAACTGCTAGTGTAAAATTGTTTTTGTATTTTGCCAAAAAATGGAGTTTATTTTCGTTTCGTTTTCTTTGATTTAGTTATCAGGGTCTTTCCCATTGTTGTTACTGTAATTATTAAATACATATTTACATATTTATGTACATATGTATGTATATATTGGTACATAAAGTATGTACTTAAGAAACAAAGATAAATAACCTTCACTTTTTTTAATTTCAATTTTGGAGTTTATTTACTTTAAATTAATTGTTTAATGAACTTATGATTTTGTTTCTTTTTATACCTCGTACGTGATTTTTTCAGTATTTTGCAATTGTCATATATTAGTCATGTATTCCGTTATTAATAATATGAGTAGTTATGCATTATTCTTAAATAATTTAATTATATTTAAAAATAAAACAATTACAAATGTATAACAAAATTTTAGCAATTCAATCCCACATGTTTCTCAGTATGATACCCTGAGGCATGTTCAAATAATGGACCGATACTCACATTTGTAATATTCACTAGACTATAAAGTAAAAAATAGACAATAATTAAAATATTTACTAGATTAGACTATTAACTAGATTATATAGTATGCTATAGACTAGACTATAAACTCGACTATAGAATAGACTATATCCTAGACTGTATACGATACTATAGTCTAGACAATAAACTAGGCAATAGACTAAAATATAAACTAGACTATAGACGAGACTACAGAATGGACTTTAAGGTAGACTATAGAATATACACTAAAATGGACTAAAAACTAGACTATAAACTAGATTATAAACTTGACTATATACTAGTGTAGACTAGACTATATACTAGACTTTAGACTAGACTATCGATTAGCATTTAGTCAATATGGGCAAATGTTAGTTTAATAGTGATCAAAAGATTTTCTAATTAAATCTTTTTTATTTTTTTTTTATAAAAAACTATACACCAACTTATTTGCCTTTTCCATAGAAAAATTAAATTGAATAAATCTTTAAAAATACGGACCACAAGAGCATTGAAAAGATTACGAGCAAAATCACCACCGCCGCCGTCGTTGCCGTCGTCACTTGAACCGTCAAAGGAGCAACTAACTCCTACAACATCAACGCAGTCATTACAAGAACATAAGACGTTAGCACAAACGAAAAAATACCATACAACATCATTGTCGAGCACCTCTAAAATTGCAACAAATTCCAAACAAAAAATGCAACGTCAAGGTTCCCATGGAACGTCGGCACAGAAACACACAAATCTCGATGAAATATGGACAGATTTAGAGCAGGGCATTAAGCAAGTATTCCAGCAGGAACAATCATTAACAACGGAACGTTATATGCAACTGTATACGTATGTCTACAACTATTGTACCAGTGTCAATACTATGCAGAACAACAGTAGTCGTTCGAACAAACTGGGCGGTGCTCAATTGGTGGGCAAGAAATTGTACGAACGTCTTAAGGACTTTCTCAAGGACTACTTGAGTGATTTGTTAAACAATTTTATAGCCATTAAAGGTGAAGAGGTCCTCTTAGATCACTACACCAAACAATGGGTTCTGTATCAGTTTTCCAGCACTGTCTTAAATGGCATTTGTTCCTATTTGAATAGACATTGGGTAAAGCGGGAATATGAGGAGGGTCAAAAGGGTATTTATGAAATCTATCGTCTGGCTTTGGTCACCTGGAAGGAACAGTTATTTAAGGTTCTCAATGAACCCGTAACAAATGCCGTACTCAAATCCATTGATGAGGAAAGAAAGGGCAAAACCATTAAACGTTCATTGATACGTGATGTTATCAACTGCTATGTTGAGTTGGGTTTCGACGAAGAGGATGAAATGGACAATAAAGATCATAAGAAACAGAAATTGTCTGTGTATCGGGATCATTTTGAAAAGAAATTCTTGGCTGAAACGGCGGCATTCTATAAACACGAATCGGAAACATTTCTCAGTAGTAATACTGTGGCCGAGTACATGAAACATGTAGAGAAACGTTTGGACGAGGAGCGTAAACGTGTAAATGGTTTAGATTTTGATTCCGTACTCACCTCCTATTTGCATGTCAGCACTTTGGATAAATTGGTGGAAACCTGTGAAGTGGTTAGTATTATAACCGAATGCATTTATGTTAAAAAGAGGAAATTAATTGTAAATTGTTTTTTTTTAGGTTCTGATTGAAAAACATTTAGATGTATTCCGCTCCGAATTCCAAAATCTTTTAAATGCCGACAAAAATGCCGATTTAAAACGTATGTACACTTTAGTGGCCCGCACACCACGCAATCTCAACGAGCTGAAGACCATACTGGAGGAACACATACTACAACAAGGCTCTCAGGCCATTGAAAAATGTGGCAATACAGCAGCCGCTAACGATCCCAAGATCTATGTTCAGACCATATTGGAAGTACACAAGAAATACAATGCCCTTGTCTTGACCGCATTCAACAATGACAACGGCTTCGTCTCAGCTCTTGACAAGGCCTGCGGTAAATTCATTAACTCGAATGTCGTTACACAGGTTAACAGTGCCAGTAAATCGCCCGAATTGTTAGCCAAATATTGTGACATACTGCTTAAGAAATCATCCAAGAATCCCGAGGAAAAGGAATTGGAAGACAATCTAAATCAAGTAATGGTCGTCTTCAAGTACATTGAAGACAAAGACGTCTTCCAGAAATTCTATTCGAAAATGCTGGCCAAACGTTTGGTCAATCACACCTCAGCCTCCGATGATGCCGAGGCTGTTATGATATCAAAACTTAAGCAGACATGTGGCTACGAATACACCATCAAATTGCAGCGCATGTTCCAGGATATTGGTCTGTCAAAGGATTTGAATAACAATTTCAAACAGCACTTGCAGACCAACAACACACGCATGGAAATTGACTTCAGCATTGAGGTTTTATCTTCCGGCTCTTGGCCTTTCAATCAGAGCAGTAACTTTTCCTTGCCCTCGGAATTGGAGAAAGCCGTACAACATTTCAATACGTTCTATTCAACTCGCCACTCGGGACGCAAGCTTAATTGGCTGTATCATATGTGCAAAGGTGAATTGTCAACGAATTGTTTCCTCAACAAATACACACTGCAGGCCAGTACCTTCCAAATGGCTGTATTATTGCAATTCAACGATCAGACGCATTATTCAGTGAAACAGTTGTTGGAAAATACACAAATCGAGCAGGAACATCTGAAACAGGTAATAGATAGATAGATAGAAGAATCGGACCAAAATTTTCCCAAGTCCATATATCTCATGAATTGCTTATACAATTTTCTAATTCATATTATATTCCTTTTAGGTTTTACAAATTTTGCTCAAAGCTAAACTTTTAACCTGCACCGATGATGAAAACTCCCTGACGCCCAATTCCATTATGGAATTATATCTTAACTACAAAAACAAAAAGTTACGCATCAACATCAATCAACCTTTGAAGACTGAACTTAAGGTCGAACAGGAGGCCGTACATAAAAACATTGAGGAAGATCGCAAGCTACTCATACAAGCTGCCATCGTACGCATCATGAAAATGCGCCGAAGGTTAAATCATACTCAACTCATCACCGAAGTACTCAATCAATTGTCATCGCGTTTCAAACCCAAAGTACCGGTGATTAAAAAATGCATCGACATCTTAATCGAAAAAGAATATCTAGAGAGAATGGAGGGACAAAAGGATACATACAGTTATTTGGCGTAAATTCAAAAAAAAAAAAAAAAGTAATGGGATGGAAAATTCAGAAAAATTCTTGTTTTTTTTTTTTACTTTGAACATAATGCGCGTTATTTTTAATTGTGTATTTTTTTCATATATTTTTTTTTATTTTGTCGCCAATGCCACCGCTTTTGTGAATGTGAGGAAAGAAACGAAGAAAGTAAACAGATCTTAATGTTTTGTTCTTATCTTATATAAACATTTTATATTACATATTTTTATTATGATTATAGAATTATTATCATTTTGAACAATCTTCTTTGATTGATTATTTTTCATACATCCAGCTTTCTTCTCTTGTTTGTTTTTCTTTAGTTTAGTTTTGTTTCATTTTCTTTTCCTTCTTAATTTGTTGTCTTGAAATTAGTTGTTTATTTGTTGTGTATAAATCTAGGAAAATTAAAAAAAACCCTTAATCTAAAGGGTTAGTCCGTATGTTAAAGCAAAGGTAAAGTTAATGACGAATATATTTTATATATTCTAAAAAACTCAATATAAGCTGCAAAATTAGATTTCAAAATTTCACCTTAAATTTCAACAAAACATTAGATAATCAGATTTATACAACCATTTATAGTTTTAAACTAACATTTTGTCATTAAATTGTAATATTCTTTCTCTTTTTTAACTAAAACCACACAGATTTTATATCACGCCACACCAATTCACTTAATATGTATGTATAACTTCTTCATCTCCACACTCTCTAGCTCTTTTTCTAACGTCCTTTGTCATAATAAAAAAAAATTGTTTTTTTTTTTTTTAATTTTTGTATTTTTTAACGAAAATATTTCATTATTATCCTGTAGCTTTAAAAAAAAAACTGGAAAACAATATTTTACTATTATATTTTTTTACATTTAAGTTAATTTAAATAAATAAAACAAAAAAAGTAATAATTGAAAATTTCAATTCCAATTTCGGCTGATTAATTTCTATATTGCATGCAATTTTTCATTTAAATTTTTTTATTTGTTTATTAATTTCAAACAAATTAATTTGTACACTTAAGAACACAACAATCGAGAAAATAAGAAATTTTGAATCCCTTTTACATATAAATACATACAAAAAAAAAAACACATAAAACAGATCTATAGCATAGAATAAAAATATGCATTAAAATCGTAATAAAAAACAAAATATATATAATATATATAAATAAAACTCATTATAAAAATTAAAAAAAAAAAAACAGAAATATGTTTTATTTGGCAGTAAACCAGGTTAGGCAGAAATTTTTGAAATATTCTCTAGTCTATTGGTAGATTAAGAAGGCACCGAGCTCTACGATCCAAGTTAAGATCTTTAGTATATAATCTAGTCTTTAGTCTAGTTCATGGTATAAAAAATCTAATATTTTTTATCATGGTATAGTCTATAGTTTAATCTATAGTCCATTAGTCTATCGTATAGTCCATAGTCAAGTCAATAGTCCAGTCTATAATACAATCTATAGTCCATAGTCTAATCTATAGGCTAGTCTTTAGTCCAGTGTATAGTCTAGTATTTAGTTTGGTCTATAGACTAGTCTTTAGACTTATCTATAGTCTAGTCTGTAGTCAGGTCTACAAAGTCCATAGATTATAGTTTAGTCCATAGTCCAGTCTATAGTCAACTTTATAGTCTAGTCCATAGTCTAGTCTATAGTCTAGTCTATAGCCTAGACTATAGTCTACTCAATAGTTTAGTATATAATATAGTCTATAGATAGTGTAGTCAATAGTTTAGTGTATAATTTAGTGTATATAGTCTTGTCTATAGTCTAGTCCAAAACCTAGTCTAGTGAATAATTTAGTCTATAGTCAAGTCCATAGTCTAGTCTAAAGTCCAGTCTATAGTCTAGTCTATAGTCTTAACTATAGTCTAGTCCATACATAGTCTATAGTCAACTCAATGGTCCAGTCTATAGTCTAATCCATAGTCTAGACTATAGTGTAGTCTATAGTCTAGTATATAGACTAGTCTAGTCAATTGTTTAGTGGATAATATAGTCTAGTCTATAGTATAGTCCATAGTCTAGTCCATAGTCTAGCCTATTGTCTAGTCCATATTCTAGTCCATAGCCTAGACTATAGTCTACTCAATAGTTTAGTATATAATCTAGTCTATAGATAGTCTAGTCAATAGTTTAGTGTATAATTTTAGTGTATATAGTGAATAATCTAGTCTATAGTCAAGTCCATAGTCTAGTCAGTTGTCTAGTCTATAGTCTAGTCTAAAGTCCAGTATATAGTCTAGTCTATATTCAACTCTATAGCCTTCACTATAGTCTAATCCATACATAGTCTAGTATATAGTCAACTCTATGGTCCAGTCTATAGTCTAATCCATAGTCTAGACTATAGTGTAGTCTATAGTCTAGTCCATAGTCTAGTATATAGACTAGTTCATAGTCTAGTCAATTGTTTAGTGGATAATATAGTCTATAGTATAGTCCATAGTCTATAGTCTAGTCAATAGTCTAGTCCATAGTATAGTCCATAGTCTAGTCTATAGTCTAGTCCATAGTCTAGTCTATAGTCGAGACTATAGTCTAGTCTAGCATATAGTCTAGTCTATAGTCTATTCTATAGCCTATTCTATAGTCTAGTCTATATTCTAGTCTATATTCTAGTCTATAGTCTAATCTATAGTCTAGTCTATAGTCTAGTCTAGTCTATAGTCTAGTCTATAGTCTAGTCTATAGTCCAGTCTATAGTTTAGTCTATAGTCTAGTCTATAGTCTTGTCTATAGTCTAATCCATATTCTAGTCTATAGACTAGTCCATAACCTAGTCTTTAGACTAGGCCATAGTTTAGTGGATAATCTAGTCTATAGTCTAGTCAGAAGTCTAGTCAAAAGTCTGGTCTATAGTCTTGCCTATAGCCTAGTTTATAGTGAAATCTATAATTTAGTCTAGTCTATAGACTAGAATAGTCGAGTCTATAATCTAGTCTATAGTCAAGTCCATAGTCTAGTCTATAATACAAAGTGTAGCTTATATTCTAATCTGGTCTATGGTTAAGTCGACAGTCTATGGTCTGGTTATACTGCAATATAAAGTCAAATCTATTGTCTAAAAAGAAATTCCATATGAGCATTATTTTCGATATGTTATTGAGATACATTTTAAAGCTATTACCTGTCATATGTACAAAAATCGTACTACGAATCATAATCAGCTTATAAAGGGTGATAGATTCCATAAATCTAGTTATTGATAAATAATCACACAAGAACTTTGTAAATATGTATATAAATATTTATTTTATATCATTCAAAAAATTTAAATATTTCATAATAATGGCAAAAAATATATGAAAATGTTTTACAAAACAAATTTTTGATTTGTTCTAGACTTCGAAGATTTGCAGGTTTTACAGTAAATTGTAATTCTGGAACAGAATAAATTCTTGTAATAAAGTTATACAATGTCTAAAATGAAATACAACAAATTTTAAATTGCCTAAAGTTATAACTAAATTATTAAAAAAAAACATTTAATAAACAAACTCATTCTTGACAATATTGCATTAAATGTAAAATTTCAAAAATCTTAAATTTGTAACAAAATATGTATGAATACATAGAATTATTCAGTAAACACCATTGAATAGTGATTTTTTTATAAAAAAAATAAGGTAAATAAAATTAAACTAAAAATTTGGTTTATAATATACTCAAGAGTATATGAGATCGAAATAGGCTTTAGAGAAGGAAAGCAAGGAAAGTATTTTAAAATAATAAAACTCTAAAATTAAAAAGGTTTAAGAAATACATATTAAAGAAAAACAGAGGCATTATTAGGTTTAAGATAAATTAAAACTAAAGAGTGTGACTCTTATAAAAAAAAAATAGTATTAAGAAAAAAACCAAAATATATTATTGAACATCCGCTTCAGTCTTCATCATCCAAAATAATGGTTTTCGTTTGAAAACGCATACGTTTAGTATTTTTTATAATACCATTGGTAAGAAGATTTTTACCCTGTTTCGGACAAGGCAATTCCTGCCACAAACGTTTCAGCTTTATCACTGCTGTTGCATTATAATCGAAATGTTTTTGTTGTGTATTATGATGATTATCAATTTTATGCAGTTTAATTGTTGGTATTTTCTTCAATGTTAGATTATTTGTTGTACTGGCTGCAGTGTTATTGTTGGCGGGTAAGTTTGCTGATGTTGTTTGATCCATTTGATGGTTGATGGTTGTTTCATCTCTTACCACAAGAGATGAACAACCACGTTTTTGATGGCAAGTAGCAGACGATTTGTGGTTTTTGATATCGGATTGTTGCTGTTGATTAGTTGAATGCTGTGAAATATCCGAATCATGGGAGATTTTTCTAGGGTAAAGAATATAAACATTTACATTTAACTATTAGAAGTTACTTTTCTACTCATTTTCTTTCTACTAACCTTTTCAAATAAGTATATTTATTAATGGTAGGCGGTGGTGCTGCACATATTTTATCCGGCTCTTCGGGATGACAACCGTAATCTACACCTCTTAGCCAATGTTCATAGCGTTCCGGCTGAAAACGTCTAACAAAAGTTTCCATTGAGATTTTCACCATATCCTTGTGACAATGACATATCGATGCCCTCTTCCCGTACTCAATCCAACGTTTCGAAGCAAAATTAGTCGATTCAGCCCCATTGAAACCATGATTAAAACCAGCATGATAGCCATAGGGAAAGGTAATCATTATTTCGCCCGCCTCTTGGGTAATACGATTGAATGGTATTTTATTTTGACGCAAAACATGTGGACTTATTAGAGTCATCTTATGCCGTAAATGGGCATTACAATTCTGATAATTTTCATAGAAAATACGATTGGCCAACTTCTCCAGTCTACGCCCATAAGCAGGCGGTATGGCATACCAGGTTTTCGGCGCTCCAAAGTGTAAATAATTAATGGAATATAGGTCCATATCTTCAGTATGCCAGGCAAAAGAACTCTTCCACATTCCAAAATATAGATAGGCAGTATTAACACCATCTATCTCTATGCCATAGTCTTTGTTAACAAAATTCAATATAGTATCGAGTCTATCAATGTTCCACACATCTAAATCACTGTCACTTAAAGAGCCCTTGACATCGGCTGCATAGAGGGGTGCTATATAGGTTACATTCTTCCAATATTTCCTTTCTAAATCATCATAGTCAAAGTGTTTAGGCGTTTGATAGCGCTCAGATTCGGCCAGCTCTTTGAACTGGCGCAGTGTCATAGAACGTTTCATGACATTGATTTGTTGATAT